CACCACGCAACCGTTCGAAAACCGAGCCGGGAGAAGACTTCGCAAGTTGTCAGAGAAAAAAAAAGTGTCCGACAGTCGAGACGTCCTTATCTGACCCTGCCACCTCCACACTCTCAACAGTCCCCCATTGAGCTATCGACCTCTTCTCCGAATTCGGTGAGTGGGACTGAGGTTGGGTCGGACGAATGGTTGTCCTATCCTCAGCCAGGGTCGTCTCTTTTGGACTCGCATTCGTGTGCTCACCTCTTCAACAGTGCTGTGTGGCAAAGGGGATTGGGGGGGGGGGGGGGGGGGGGGGGGGGGGGGGGGGGGGGGGGGGGGGGGGGGGGAGCTGTTGAAATGGCGGTTGTCGAATTTCTCCCGAAATTTTGCGGCTTTCGACAGTGGTGTGGCGAGGCCCTTACACACCGTCTGCCAAAGCAACCGGCTATCCACACATCCTTTCTAGAAACTTCACACGGCGTTGTGAACGAAAGTTATCTGGCCATACCCACACCAGGACTTTGCTGGGCGTACCTCAGTGCTTCTATGACCTGTTCTGGATGTATCTGACCACAAGTACATCCAGAGATCAGTTGAAAAAGCCCTAGTGTGACTATGGGCCTTGCCAGACCACTCTCAAATCCCTCCCATTCGAGAGAGGTGTCCTCGCCTCACACCAGCTCTGGAATCCAACAAGAAAAAACAAAAATCGAGTGTTGTCAGATGCCCAGGGTCGAGAGCCCTCTCGATCTGCCTGCCTGCTACTTGCCCATTTTCGAGGGACTCCATGGGCCATCTTGAGCTTGGCCCGAATTCTGAGAGTGCATCACGGCCGACAACCGTCTAGTTGTCAGTTTTCTCATTGTCTGCACTCGAAAGAAATTTGGGCTCAACAAGTAGCCAGCATTCGTGAGAGTGGTTTATGGGAGTGCAGTGCACCAGAGCGCACTTTCAACAGGCATTCTTGAATCCGAGGGTTGGAGAGTGCCCTCGATTTCCTTTTCGGATTAGAGAGTGGTGTGGCGAGCCCCTGAGCCTTAAGTGTGTCACATTACAGCCTCCGTCCGTTGTCTCTTCCACCGGCCATGTCATTCAAAATAGCAGGAAGGACAAGAAGGATCGACACAAACGAGGCCGGGAGTTTCCTTTTCAGCCTCAGTGCAAACGATCATGCACTGACTTCGATTTGATGAATCGGGAATTCGCCTTTTGGGACTTTTTTTCCCTGCCGGCGCTGCCACATTTCTTTCTTCCTTTGAAATTGTGAAGCTGAACCATCTCGTCTCAGAGATAATGAGAGAGGCGGGGAAGAACAAGATGAACGGAAAGGATCATTGTTGCTTTGCTGCTGTTGTGCTTGGGAAGGAGAGCCCAAATTGCCGAGCTGCCATTTTCTCGGCTGAGATCTCTTCAACAAGAAAAGAGGAGGCTGTGCTTTCCTCGGGTGTCCCCTGGAGAAACCATGGCGGCCCCCCGGATCCGCGGACTACTTTTCTTAGCCAAAGCGAGGTAATGGCCCCAGTAGAGAAGCATAACATTCTTGTACTTGTGTGTATCAATTGGAGGCTGGACCCGGTTTCCAGCAGGTGAAGCTCCCCGCCAAAAGGAATGGAGCCATCCACACTGCAGGTACTACGGAGGGTTGCTCGTACCAACCTCTGTAGCACCCCCGGGGGATGTTAGAAAGCAAAAAAAAAAAACACAGAGATGTGGGCCAGCAGACTACTACAGCAGTGTCATATACATTTTCCTTTTATTCTGGTTATCTGAATTCGAATGTGGATTTGTATTTTAACAGTTTGTGGGTGTACCAACTGAGCTAGGCCTATGACAGATTCCACCCTCTGCCACACGCAGCTAAATTTTCCCCGTGCGCCAGCCAAACCTTTTGTAGATGTACTTTTTTGACGGCAGCAAACAGCAGGTTTAATCACCAACTCTTCTCTTTGAGGGAAGACGGTAGCCTGGGATTGCGAGGTCCTGACCGTCCTGTCATCCACGGGAGGTTGTAAAGGTCCTCACGCGAAGAGCGAAGAGTCCTTTCATGATGTAGTTTGAGACGGCAACACTGAATCGATGACGATTCAACAACGGTGGATAAGATGGTGCAGTACCCGAGCAGGTCCCTCATTCTGAAGGCTTTCTGGGATAGTGTTTTAGACAGGCGCGCATGCACGCACACGCACGCGCGCGCACACACACACACACACACACACACACACACACACACACACACACACACACACACACACAAACACACACAAACTTACACACATACACACACAAACACACACACACACACACACACACACGCTCTCGTGCGCATGAAGAGAGCGGAAGAAACAGAGGCAGCACGTGCTGATCTATCAACTTCGCATTGTACTCATCAGGGGACGCTGGACCAGCTTTCCAGCAGGTGTAGCTCTCCACCAATAGACTGGAGCCCCCCCGGAAGACACGTAGGAGAGTGTATGCTCCTCGCGAGAGGCCCATAAGTCAGCTCAGGTAAAGCAAGAATGTATTGCTTCTCTATTAAATGTAATGACTAAATCCAATGATTATTTGTGCACTAAATGCTTTGGAATTCCAGATTCTTTGCTTCCACTGTTCTGTCTCATTCCTTCTTTCATTCATTCCTTTGTTCCTTCCTGCATTCCGTCCTTTGCTTTGTCCTTCGTTCATTCAGTCATTGCTTCGTTCGTTCAATTCACGTTCCGCTCACTCACTCGTTCATTTCTCCGTGCATTGCATTTATTGAAAATTAACTATTTAGCCATTCCACAATTCCGGCTTTGATTTACTGAAAAGCGGTTGTCGGAGGTGGCGTGAGGAGTTTTTTAGGCATGGTCTATTGTATATTGATTCTGTGATAGAGCCTGGTAGAGAGATCTGGGGAATTGCTTTGGGGGTCCATTTCCAGTGGCCAAACCCCAGAGCTGGAGTGGGTCGTGCTGCCCTGTAACCCAGGCATGTTGGGGGTATGAGGCCTGGTAGAGACTTGGTTTAGTCTACATGATAGCATTAGTAGGTTTCTGATTTGTTTGTTGGGTTACTCTTAAGGCAACTTCGTTGCGAGTTCGAAAACGAAAGTTACAAAACCATAAAGACTCAGGATCCAACACCATAATAAGAGACTACCTTCATGATTCGACCAAGTTCCAGAAACTTTATAAAACAATGGTAATTGATTATTTGAATTTGTAAAAACGCATTAAAATAGAGAAATCAGAAGAAACATAACAAAACAAAAAGCTAAAAAAACAGATGGTTAAAACGAGAAAGTAAAGTGAGGATCTGTCGTTGGGTTACTCTTGGGTATCCTGGCTTATGGTATGTATCTTGCGTATCTTAGGAATAATTCAGAAGTTTTCTGAGTGTTTTTTTTCTTCATAAAGTCCTGGTTTGTCTTAGTCAAAGCCGGGTAATGGCCCCAGTATCTCAATATTTCAGTACATCGTGCATTGTTACATGGGATGCTGGGCCCCGTTCCCAGAACATGTTGCTCCCCACGAATAGATTGGAGCATCATGCAATTAAAAAAAAAAAGAAAAAAAAAAGAAGTGGTTCTGTATTTGCCCAAAAGGGTGATGGCCTATTACAATTAAGTTCTGCTACTCTTTTGAATTTTGCTCAAAAGGCTGATGTTGTTCCCCACAAAATGGAGACTCTGACTTTGTGGGGCCCCTGAGCATAGTCTTCTGAATTTTAGCAAGAGTCGGTTTACTCCTTTGCAGTTTTTTTCTGCTTCTGTTGTCGGCAGTGAGAGGAGGAATTCTTATCTCACCCACCAGTACTAAGCGAAGGTGGGTCAGCCTTACCCACCTACAGGATAGTTGAATCACAGCTCTGATTCTTGCTTTGGTTTTATCGTCAGTGGAGCTCGATAGTGCTCCCAGTTTTTTAGGAGGCAATGGTATGGTATCGGTCTTGTTTCCTCCCTTTGTTTCTACGACAGCTCGATAGTTCGATAGTTCTTTTGAATCTTTACTCGTCCCGTTGACTACCATTCCTTGTTTTTAGGAAATCTTGACGCCAGTATGGGACGCTGGACGCTGCAGGACGCAGTTTCCAGCATCAGCCGCATGTGCGTAATGGCTCCAGTATTCCAGGTTATTTGTGGGGCATTCCTGGCCTCATTTTGGCTCTGTATTGGTAATAAAATATCCAGGCTTTTTTTTTTTAAACGAAGGAAAAAAGGTGATGGTGTTGAGATGCTGCACCGCTGTTGACCGGCCTTAAGGCAATCTGAAATTCTGAATTGATCGTGAAAACACTGAAAAGTTGAAAACAGTGAAAGAAATTTAACTGAAATCTCAGTTGCCTTTTTCTTGTCTTGAATTGACTCTGAACTTCTCTAAAGTCCCACCATCGGTCTTCCTCAAGCTCCACGGACATTCTGAAACTGGTGATTAGGTCCATAATAATGCCCCTTACCACCTTGTTTCATTAAACTAATAAACTCCACTTAACCTCTGCTATCCGCGCTTTATTAGTGTTGCACAGTTGCAGCCTAGTCCAACAGCATGCCAGCCCTTCAGGTCAGATAAGTCAAGCCCTCAACTCTCTACTCGGTTCACAGGGTGGCTCAAACCGTCTTATGGTCTTAGGTAAATGATCATCCTTAGGGTCTCGCCGCACGGCACACGAAACGAAAACGAAACGACTGCATCTGCCCAGGAAAGGTGGCAAAATACACTCGTTACTATTTATAGCAAACCGATGAACCTGGCCATTTTCTGCAGGAAGATGCACTCGTTTCGTTTTTCGTTTGGTGTCCCGTGCGGCGACGCCCTTACTGAGGCAAGGGAGTAACCTGTGTCGCCCTCAAACCCAGCGCCTACCCACAGGGAAAGTCAGGCATGCAACAACAGGATCTACCTGTTGGCGACGCATGATTATGTTTGACCATTAATAAAAAGAGAATGAATTTTATGTACAGGTGAAGATTGATTTGCGAGGGGGAGGGGGAGGGGGAGGGGGAGGGGTTGAGGGCGGCACAGCGGCAATGGCACACATACCAGGCTCCACCGGTGTTGGACGCAGAAATGGCAATTTGCACACCCGAAACGAGAGCTCCCGCCAAGATTCCAGCCAGAGTTTCTTTGCCGAGAAGTGCTCCGACGATGAGCGGCGTAAGCATGACGAGGCAACCCGGGGGGATCATCTCACGGAGAGAAGCATCGGTCGAGATTTCGACACACCTCTTGTAGTCGGGCTTGACAGTGCCTTGCATCAGGCCGGCAATTGTGTTGAATTGCCTGCGCACCTCTTCCACCATGGCCAACGCTGCTTTGCCAACGCTCTTCATGGTCATGGCAGAGAACCAGTAGGGAAGCATGGCACCCACAATGAGACCCACGAACTCCTTGGGCAAGATCACATCCACACTGGTAATACCCGCCCTGTTAATGTAGGCACCAAACAGAGCAAGCGACACAAGTGCAGCGGAGCCGATAGCGAAGCCCTTGCCAATAGCCGCCGTGGTGTTGCCTGCTGCATCCAGCGCATCCGTCTTCTCTCTGATTGCAGGGCCCTGAGCAATGAAGTCCATGAGGCAAGAGCAACATTCAAACCCAACAGCAAAGCAACTGATTAGTTCACTCCCAGAGGACAGGTGGGTAACTGGCAGCTCACTCAAAATCCCAGCAGAGGCGCTTGCTCGCGTACGAAGGCGAGGAAGGCGAGGAAGGCGAGGAAGGCGAGGAAGGCGAGGAAGGCGAGGAAACAACAACAGACCCTCCTGCTTGGCACTCTACGGCCGACAAGGACTCTTATAATGACAGTAAACAACGTCCTCCTCCAGAAGTTACTGGAGCACATTACTCCGTTTTTCCATGTGAATTCGGAGAAATGCGCCGCCTTCTTGGGGTCATCAGGTGAACTGATTTCGCACAAGCAGACTCTTTTTTTTTTAAAAGGGTGACGACTTTGACATATCATCATTGAACTGACCGGCCCCGGGTTTATTCAGAATCCATTTTGTTCTGTTCATGGATCACATCTGGATTCGAACTTGGGTTTGTATTTCAAGTTTTTCAACACTTGATGGGTGTACCAACTGGGCAAAGCTCGGCAATCTGAGTGGCGTAACGAGTGGAAGGATTGATTATTCTCCAGCAGTATCACGCTGAGGGAAGGATTGGGAGGAGATGATGGCGCCTATCTTCTTCGTAACGAGTTTCCATTGTGTGTAATCTTTCTCTAATAGTCTGAGAATGAAATTTTCATCAACCCTTTTGGTAGAAAGTAACCCACAGTGATGCTGCCACTGGCCCACCTATACTCCCCACCAGCTTATAACGCCAGCCGCCACACAACTGGGATGGCAACAAACAGACGCACACACATGTAGCCACGCAGCAAACATGACAAGACAGACAGATAGGCAAACAGACACACACACAGGCTAGGCGGTCAGTTTGCAAGACAGCTAGCTGTCCACGCAGAGAAGTTCGACCCCAAAGGGCCCGACTTCACAGCAAGTTAACCAAAGATACGTGACAGAAGCCACCTGCCGTAAGTCCACCCGACTAAGCTCTACGGCGACACCCAGCCCACAACGCAAGCAACAAAGCCACAGGCAGCTTCTGAGGCAAATCCCCCTCCACCTTCCTGACATGATGGATCGGCCGCCGGCAATCGGGGCCTCCTGGCATGCTGTGGGCTGCTGCAGCGAACCGACCAACTTGACTTTTGCAAAAGCGAAGCACAGCAAAGCAAAGCAAGCCAGCCCGTTGATTACTGCAAGGACGAAGCAGAGCCACCTGCAGAGGTGACATACAAGGTAGTCGGAACAGGAACCTGCACTGGTCGCACTGTCGGCAGCCTGCCATTTGGGCTAGTGGCAATAATAGTGATAGTAGTAGTAGCACTAGGGGCCACAGCACCAGCAACCGTGCACAGTCCCCTCTTACCTCCCCCCCCCCCCCCCGGCCCAAAGAAAAAGAAGAAAAACGCCCCCAGTAGCAGTAATAAGTATAACAAGTATACAGTAGCAAGCAGTGATGGCAGGAGTGATGGTAAGACAAAAACGTATACGCACCATTTCAGCCATCTCAGCAATACCTCCGGCATTGTCACTGATTGGCCCGTAGGCATCGATTGCAAGGCAGGTGGATAGGGTGCTGAGCATCCCCAGGGCAGCACAGGCAATACCGTACATGGCCGCAAGTGTGTGAGACACGAACACCGTAAATGCAATGGCGAGAATTGGAACGATGACCGACTTGTAACCGAGAGCAAGGCCGAAGATGACGTTGGTGGCAGCCCCCGTCCTGCAGGAGTCTGCAACATCTCTCACGGGTGAGAACTGGTGGCTGGTGAAATACTCTGTGGTGTAGCCAATCAGAAGGCCTGCCCAAAGGCCACATGCCACGCAGAAGAACATGTACCATTTTTTCACGACCTTGGTGTCTGCGCCGTTGATGATCTCGAACGTATCTGGAAGGCAACCCCATGCCAGCAATGCAATGACAGGCGTCATGAGCACCGTTGAGATGACTAGTTGCTGTTTCAGAGCCGGCTCAATCCCCTTGATGTTAGACACACCGGAAGTCAAGTCTGTCGCCACAAGCGTGGTGAGCAGACAGACCAAGATGCCAGCCCCGGTGATCATCAGAGGGAAGCTCATGGCCACGTAATTCATCTCTTTTCCGAAGTCGGACAGCGAAGACACCACAAGAGCAGCACATGTGGACTCTGCCAGCGAACCGAAAAGATCAGCGCCCATACCGGCAATGTCACCCACATTGTCACCCACGTTATCCGCAATAACGGCAGGATTCCTTGGGTCGTCCTCCGGGATGTTGCGCTCCACCTGCAGCAAATGCAAAGCAGTCCAACACACACACACACACACACACACACACACACACACAATCAGCTTTATGTGTATATTTCCACTTTCTGGATTTTGTTTCTTTCTGTCTGACTGAGTGAGCACCTTTAAGAAGTGCTAAGCAGTTGGTGGTCGGTTGTTTGGAGTGCCTGCAGGACTCTCAGGGGGGGGGCTGCTCTGTCTGTGATGTCTGGTGCATATGATCTATGGGTGATGGTTGAGGTCTGTCGGAGTGGCTTCCTGGCTCAGCGGTGGTGGGGTCTCTGATGGCTTTGCTCTGTGTTGGATGTGTGGACTGCCTTGTCTATGCTCCACGGCTGTCTTGCTGCTCCATCCTGCTTGCTCCTCATGTCGTTCTTTGCAGCTGGTTTGTTGCACTGTAGTTTGGTTGGGGTTTTGGTCTTGCCTTGTGCTCCACTGTGCTGTTGCCTTGCTGTTCACCCGTGTGCCTTGTCTTCCCATGCATTTTGGTTGTGTGACGCGCAGTTTTGCCAGCGCTGCTCTGTGCTTCGCTGTGCTATTGCTTTGCTGCCAGTCCGCTTGCGCTGTTGTTCCATGCAGCTAGCTTGGCTGCTTTGCCCCGGCAGTGTTGCCCGGTGCTTCGCCATCATTGCTCGCTGCTATGCTCAACTTGCGATGCTGGTCGAGGAGGGACCCAAAGCATCAATCTCGGGATTCCGCAGATTGTCAAGGGTTCAGCCTCCTGTAGAGTTGGTGCGTCTGACAAAACAATCTTTCATCATCAGTTTCTTTTTTCAGTAACGTGTACTTCTCTTGCCCGTTGTTCTTTTGGCTTTGCTAATTTTTGGCTTGCTGCCTCTACCTTTTCACTTTCGTACTGCTAATTTTTCTTCTGCCTTGTGTATTGCGAGGCTCAGGGCCTCGATCTGCCCTACTGGGCCCTATTTTCTGTACATTCGGCCGCCCTAAGTGAAGGCAGGCTCGACCCAGGGCCAATAGGCCTATTTTTGGGTTCACCGCGCAACTGGGCAAATTCAGGTACTTGCGCAGCGCCAGTTGGTTGAGAGCGCCCAGGCCCAGGCTGCCTTTTTCCGTATGTAACTGAGGCAGGCCCTGAGCCAGATACGCGATATGAACCGAACACGGGCCGAGGGCAGTTGGAGACGGGCAACTACCAGGGGTCCAGGGCCTGATTCGTGTAGACTGGGGCACAGCCTCTCAGGGCCTGCCGGAAGCTTCGGGGCAGGGGCCCAGCACAGCCAGGCTTCACGTGACAGGCAGGCAATTTCCATTTAGGAAAGTGCCTGCCTACGCATTCCTCATTCGGGCACTGGCTGCATGCTGCGCAAGCGCTGCAGCTGCACTATACGCTTGCCAGCGCTCACGCGCTCACGGGCGAGCTGGAAGGAGCAGGCAGCCATAGCCGAGCTGCGCTGCTGTATGCTGGATGGGGCGCATGGTGGTTCTTGGGTGCATGTGGCATCTGTGAGTTGGGGATCGAGGTTGTGAGTGATACGAGAGACATACATGGTGCTTGAGGCGAACGGCATTGGCCGAGATCTGCTCGTACTTCGGGGAGCTGTTGACGTCATCAGCGGCATTGTAGATAGGATAGATAGGATCTGCCATCTGTAGTCCGGGCGCCGAGCGCCAGATAGGATATCGACATTGGTTCTTTGTTGATGATGATGACATTGACGAGACTATTCCAGCCTTGTCAATTATGAGCTTTTGCTGTACTCTTATTTGGTGGAACTCTGGTCTCATGTGTATGATGCTGTTTGATTTCTGAAGTTCGCTATTGCTCATTTTCCTTGCAGTATGCCTAGTGGACCTGCAATGCTACTTTAAGGATTGTCCGTTGACTTGACGCACTCAGTTGCATGTTTTGTCCTGGGCGTATTGTGTCAGTACAGTGGACAGTCTCTGTGCTGAGGATGTCTTACCTGTGTTTTCACACACATCTCACACACACACACACACACACACACACACACACACACACACACACACACACACACACAGTACAGCCAACACGGGAGAAAACAAGGAGGGTGGGCTGGACGAGGACGAGGAGGGACCAAGGAGGGAAAAACGTGACAGCAGGGAAGGGAAAACAGTGCATGCAGAATCCGGGTGGACAGGACGTGGACGAGGAGGGACCGAGGAGGGAAAAACGTGACAGAAGGGAATGGAAAACAGCACGGCCAATATGGCAGAAAACGAGGAAAAGTGGCAGGAGAAAACATGTGTCAGCCTAGGTAGGTGGGTGATGCTATGTGGACTGCGTGGCAGAATCAGGAATATGTGGTCTGTCATGCAGGACACTTTCCGTCCCCCTCGGTTCCCAAGAAAAAGGAGAGCAAAAGAAGCTCAATGTACTTGAAACGGTGGAAGCCCTTTTCCCTGTGTACTTTTTTCAAGTTTTTTGTGCTCTTTTCCTTTTTCATAAAGAAGGGAGGTAGCCAGTAACATCTGTGGCCATCCTCACACGAGGACTTTCTTGGATGTATCTGACTGCTTTTACAGTCAACCCTGTTACCTGGATCCACCTGACCGTTTTTTTTTCTTTTCAGGGTGACAGCCTTGAGATATTATCGTGAAACTGACCGGCCCCAGGTGATGCACAAATTTCCTTCATGCACCTGACTTTGCAATAACGTCTACAGATAAAAGTCCTAGTGTGAATACGCCCTGTTTTTCCCCTTTTTTATAAATAATACAAAAAACGGGGGTAGTCCCTGTTTTTTTATTTTTTATATAATCGAAACTTCACGTCTCAGGGTTCCTGCTTAACGAGCTGATAAGAGCATCCCCATTAAGCAGATCCCGGTGTTGAAGGCTCCATCTATTGGTGGGGAGCAACACCTGCTGGAAATCGGGTCCAGCGTCCCAGTACAAGCATCAGTTCAATTGATATATGTTGTAATGGTATTTGCTGTCAAACATCACATGGGCCACTAAGGCCCATATTCCTACTTCAAGTTGTCTACTTGCTCTGAGCCATCATTCCCCTTTTATCGGTCTCCCTGACTGTATCTCTCGTGGCTCTTCGAAGGTCCTGGATGGTTGAGGAGGGGTGGGGGTGGCTGATTCCTGGCCCGCATCGGGAGGTCTTTATGGCGATATTTCGTGCCCGAACGTCTGCTTTCCTCTCTTCACCTGGTTCGTTTTGTCACATATTCGCATATCCTCCCATGCTTCATGGGTCTTTTATGTGATGGTGTCTATTATGGTCGCTCGAGCTTCCATGTACTACCCATAGGTGCGCTACTTTCTTTCGAAGGTGCAGCACACCCTCCAGGCGGTCATCAGGACAGCAAGGTGTGTTTGTTTGGAAAGGTTCGCCATAAATGGCGACCAGCTGCTCCCATTTGACGGCATTCCCCCCACCAACATCGTGTAGGTGTTCCAGGGTAGGTGCTCACCAGTAATCAGTGCCATAGTTGAGCAATCACTGGACATTCTAGCAAGCAATGTTCCAAGGTGGCCCTTCTCCTGGGAAGGGCGTGGGTGCAGCAGGCACACAGTGGTGACAGTACCCCTCTTTTCTCAAGGTCTGATTTGTCTGTGATCCAGTGTGGTGTAGGCAAACACCGCTCAGCCTGAGAGTAACTTGACCATTAAATTTTGAACAACCGGAACTCGGGGCGCTCAACGGGTGAATCCCTCTCCCAGCTCGCTCAAATCCGTTCCATCGTGTGTGCAGATTTCCGAGCTGCCCTGTACCCATTTTTGACAGTGTATTGCCAGGGCATCATTCTATTTTGGTCTTCTCATCTCCGTTCCCGTTGTATCGGATCAAATGGTTGGGTGTGGATAAAGGTGGAGGGCTCGTATAGGAAAGGGCCCAGTTTGTGGTCCTCCAGTACTCTCACTCTTATGAGGGAGTCGTGCGGGTGTCGTCTGTCCAGGTCCTCCTGGCGTTGTAGTCCAGACCTCCTCAATCACGTCTACATATAACTTTACAACCACCAGTACTTTGCCCAGCTATTGATGCTTAGGCTCGACATCAATAGCTGGGCAAACCGCCAGCGCAACTTTCTTTTTTCTTTTGGCTGACGCCACCAGCCATCGTGGTCCAGCAGCCCCGAAGCCCGCATGCATTAAAGTCAAGGGCCTACAGGCGATGTATGGGCCAAGTACTGGTAGTTTAGAAACTCCTAGTGTGAGTATGCCTTGATTCGAGCTCATGCTCTGCAGTTCACATCTACCATTCATCCACGCGGGCCAGGCCTCGAACAGGCCCAGTCCACCAATTTGAATACTTGGCACACGGAAGCCGGTCGTCTACGCAAAGAAAAGCATTTCTTGCAGCAACCACATGGCCTCTTTGGTCTCGCTACACCACTCTCCATTTTGTGCTCTGGAGAGTGTGGCCACTCTACACCACATTCTCCATTTGGAGCAGAGAAAGGCCACGGACAGTTGTCAGTAAGATTCTGTAAGAAAAGAAACAAACAAAAAAAAAAAAAAACATCCATAGGACTCTCCACTTTTGGAGAGTCCTCAGGCTGCACGCTCTCCAAAACCGACAGCACTCGGTCAGTCCTTCCGTTTTGCTTGGATTTAGGAGAGCAGGCCTTGAGTCTGGGCCAACAGGACGGTTGTTTTATTTGTCCTCGGATGCTCATAAGAGCAAGGCAAAAAAAAAAAAAATACACCTGAGAGTTGTGGCGAGCTAGGTGGAGACCAAAGAGGCTGGCTCAGTGGGTACACCCATGAACTGTTGAAATACAGGCTTGATTTTGGTTCCATATGAGGGTACTTGATGAGTAAGACCCAATATTTCTGAATTGCCTGGGCCCGGTSAGCTCAATGATGATATCTCAAGGCCGTCACCCTTTTGAAAAGAGAGAGAGAGGAAGAAGAAAAGATAGAAAGAGGGAAAGAGAGAAAGACAGAAAGAAAACAGCTAGGTGGAGCAAGAATTTCGAGAGTCTACTGTCCACCTCCTCTCCATTTTTTAGCACAATGGAGAGTCACTGTGGTGGAGCAAGACCCTTTGTTTGTTCTTT